CCATCTACGTCCTGAGGACCTCGCTGCCACCGTCCAAGCGTGCTTGGCCCCGGCAGATGAACCTCAGGATTAAAGGGTGGGCTCAGTTCCGCGCACACTGTGTCTCACCTAAAAAATCCAATGCGCAGGCTGGAAGGTGGAAAGACCTTCCCCGGTTCTTCGTTCGCGAAGAGACTGGCCATTATTATTTAAATTCTTCCAGACTTTTTGCTTCCACATTTCCCAGTAGTATAGCCAGGCAGTCAGCAAAGACATGTTTAAGTTTTTACTGTTCAGGATATTGGAAAAGTTGATCCATTCCAGCGAAATAATTGGTTATATCTGAAGGTATCCTAAAGAAATTTGCTCTTTGAATACTCATGCAAAACATCTAATTATACAAGTGCCAATCTGTCACCCTGCTTCCCCTTTGACTGCAGCTGCAGATGATTTTGCATGTGATTTGTAATCTTGCTTTCCTTTCTTACAGGATGATGTGAGGCAGAAAGTGCACCTGAATACCTTTGGCTTCTTCAAGGATGGTTTCATGAGAGTCAATGTCAGCAACCTTTCCCTGAAGCCACTGGTGGGCTCTGATGACATGAAGGGTTTATCAGTAAGTTCCTTTGGGTCCAGGGACTGTGGGAAACCTCCTGTGAAATTCCCCTTCACCAGAGACCTTCAGTTGTCTGAGGTGTCGGTTTCCAGAACAGTGACAGTCTTATTTTTAGAGAACTCTAACATTACTTCCTATATTAGGGATTTTAATGGAGAGACTGAAATGCTAGGTTGGAAAGCAGACCTGAGTTCTTACTCTTCTGCACGGTTCAGCTTCCTTATTGCTGAAAGTATTAAATGTTTTTGTCAAGCAAAACCACCTGGAACAATACTGAAATAAGTTAAAAGGTTCAGGGACACAAGGTACTCTACATGTAGTTTGCTTTTAAATCCATTTTTTTTTCTTGATGGGTGTGGATGAGGCAGCAAGTTTATTATATTTGAAAATTTTTTTTATGTCTAGTTAGATGATGAAAAAAATACCTGGATTCTGCCTTAAATGTAGGTGGATTTGTTTAGAAAGCAGTATCTTTAACTCTTTTCAGTGGTTTGGCTTCAAATTGACAGGTTCTTCTCAATTGTCTCATAGGTGGGGTTCAGTTTGGATCGAACAAGGAATGATGGGTTTTCCACTTACCTGGTAAGAGAAGTGAACTTGCTCTTCTAAGCTGGGACATCTCATAGTCTACCATGCTCTGGGAATGGTTGGAAGAAATAAAAAAAAAAAGTTGGAGGAGGACTTTAGTGTGCTGGATGTGAAGGATAATTTGGTTTTACAACTTGCTGGGTTAAAGAATGGTGACTTCTACCTGGAGGGGGGAACATGTCCCATTTCTTATAAACCAGAGGGTGCTTCAGAGATGTTTTCCTCATGTTACCAGGATGAAGAAGTGGATTACTGTATCTTGAGAAAGACACCAGAGCCAGATGTCTCTGTTGTAATTTTGCTTCTGGAAATCCAAAGTGAAGTGTGAGTAAATAATGTACATGACATTTTAAAGTTACTTCTTTAGTTGAAGATAATGTAACCCTTGAGATTTCTTTTAGCGCTTGGAAAGCTGCTCTGCATGTAATTTGTTTTTTTTTTTAAGGGATTACTTGAGAGTAAAAGTAAGAAATCTGCAGTGTAAAGTGCTCCAAGAATTCTTGCTGCATGTTGGAGGGGAAAGGGGGACATCAGGTGACAGCAACCTACCTTAACTGTGCTGAAGGAATGAACTTGAAGTCTCGGGTCACTTTTGCAGCTCTTGCACTGAATGTGCCATTTTATTGACTTGAATTATCTTATTTTATGGAAGTATATTTGGGGGTGGGTTGCTTTCTCTTGCAAGAATAACCCAACTGTTTGTGTGGAAGCACAGTTTCTAAGGAGACTCTGGTTGCCAAAGCTGAAGAACTTGATTTTCTTCTGCTGTTGCTGTATTTGATGTAAAGTGTGACTTTTCCCACAGTTCAGTGCCATGTTACTGTAAGTCATGATCTGATTCTCACCTGTTCTCTGTGGTAAAAAATACAAGTCAAGAAAAGTTGATTTTCCTTTATTTGGTATAGCTAGGCTGTGACAAATAGCCTCTTTATAAATGTTATTTTACTTTCAATATGTAATAAAACCTCTTTGTTTTTGTGGTGTTTTGATGTTTTTTTGTTTTTTAGTGTGAAGGTACGGTTCTCTGCAGAAGCTGCTTCTTTGTTACCCAAAATTTCATTCATATCTGAGGCAAATGTTACTGCCTCAAGTACCAAAAAAACTTCTGAACCAAGCAATGATTCTGGTCAAAACCCCCCAAGGACCAACGAAAATACAGATGGGAAAGGTAAGACAACTAAACCTGACCTGTGTGTGCTCTCTCTGCTCATCCCTCATTGCTGTGCATCCAAGATTGTGTTGTGGTCACGTTTTGGGGTCCCCTTGGGCTGGAACTCAGTGCACATCTTGTGTAAATCTCTGCACAGAGCTGCCTTTTGGGCTGGGGTCTCTCCTGCTCAGTGATTTGTGTTTACCAGTCCTGTTGATCCAGGATCCTGTTGATCCTGTCTCCAGCTGGAGACCTTCAGTGCCCGTGAGGAGGGGTTGACAGCTTGGTTGTCTTTTGTCTGGCAAAAACAAGGCTAAAGAGGGAATTTTATGGCCACCAACAACTAGGTGAAGGAAGGTTAGGAGGACAATGATTTCAAGCCATTTTTAGTAGTGGCACTCATTGCAACCAGTTTCTGTTTCCCCTTAAGTCCTGCGTGTCTCAGGAGGGAAAATAAGTAAAATACCTTCATTGAGTGGGTATTCCAGCATTATAGCACATCACTTGTGTAAGTTGTAAACATCCATCTTTTGAGGTTTTAACACTTGACTAAACAAAACCAGGGCCAATGTGATACAGTATTGACACCAGGCATGCTTTAGTCAGAATTTGGATTAAATATCTCCACAGGTCCTTTCCAGCCAATGTTTGCACAAGTCTGTATGTCTCTAAAGAGTTGAGATCTAATCTATCACTTAGGGGAGGGAGCAGTAACTGTACTAGTAACCTTTTCTTGGAGGCACAAATCTTTGTCTGGCTTCCAGACCAGCAGACGAAACAGTTTTATAATCTCAGCTCTAATGGGATTAGCTCCTGTTATCCCTTCCTGGCAGAGTTTAGGCTTTAGATCAGACTGTTGAGCAGTCTGATCTGGAGTAGTCTGAGTCTGTCTTGGCCTGTCATGTTCACAAGCTTTGATACCATTCAAAAGTTTGCACAGCTGGTCTAAAGAGTCAAGAACCAAGGATGGATGGCACTGAAGATAACTGATCTGACAGCTGTAGTTTTGCTTTTTCTGGTATTAAAAAGTGTAGCATGCACATGGGCAGTGCAATGAGGTGTGGGAGCCAAAAGCAAAGCTCAAGTCTTGAACTTTTGCTTCCTCGTAGAATGGATGTTTGCAAAGCTCCTTATAGGAGTAGAGTGAAACTAAACTCTCCATGCTGCTCTACTGGAGGCTCCTATCAACTCAGTTTTCTTAAATTCAGTTACTGGCTGGGCAGGTCACCTTTGTTTATGGGGTTACTTTGGTTTTTTTACTGGGACCTTACTTAATGGGAAGCTGAGAAGTTTTTCCCACCCTAGGGTTAATTAGGACTTCCACATGCTTGTCAGGCATAATAGTAATGAAGCCTGTCCTAGCTTCTGAGGATGCATTCACAATGAATGCCAGCTGTGGGAAGAGTCCTATGAGAGCAAGGAGAGACTGGGGAACAGTCCCTGTTAATGATTATCTAGGAAACTGCCACGCTGACAGGTGCAGGAAGATGTGAGTGAGGTATTGGCAATGTGCAAAAGGTGAGGATGCCTAAAATGCAAGCACTCTAAATTTACCATTGATACTTTTATCTCTAGATAAGAAGTCCACACGCAGTACAACGTCCTCCCAGGTAAGAAGCTGTCTGCAGTACTCTTTCAGAAAGAATCTGGGGGAATATTCTAGTATAATCAGCAGTATAATCACAGCCTGATAGTGGAGAGTATTTGCTGTTGCTCTCAGCCTCCACTGTAAATACACAGAATGCAGTTTTCATTGTCTGGTGGATGTAGCCAAATGTGTTGGTTACCTGCCTAAAGAAATCTAAAGGTCTCTTTTCCTTTTCCCAGACTATTATAGAACAAGAACATCCTGTTCACAACGACAGAGGAACTTTTTCATTTCAGGTAGGGTGTCTGTCAGTGTCTAAACTTAATGTGTGCAGACAGTTCCTTCACTGTACTACTTTGGAAAAGCACAAGTCTGGTGTGGATGTCTCTCTGATAACAAGAGTCCACTCATAAACTTACTGAGCTAAGAATCAGTGATGGAAATCTTTGTGTGGGAGCTGCTTTTAAACTGGCTTTGGTGTGATGCTGTTCTAAATATCACAGCCTGTGAGCCTCAGCATATTAAAGTTCACTCTGATGCCACTAGTGCATACAAATTGCTAATAACAAACTGCTGTGACCTGACTGATTCAAGGGGAAGATATTCTCTATGAAACCTGATTAATGCTTTGTTTTAGCAGCCTGGTTCTCTTGTGATGGTTGGTTGCTATAAACCAACGCACTTTAAATTCTGTTATCTGACACAAATCTCATTTCCAGAGCTATCACAATTTGCATAGTTGGGGGAGGAACACAAAAGCTCCTTATGCTTCAGGGCACGTATGATCAAAAAGTTATGCTTCACCATGTTAAATATATGACACTTTTTGTTATCTCTTCTCTGTGAACTGAGTTAAACACTGATTCTTAAAAGGCTTTGAAAAACCGGAGTGCATAATCCTAGATAGGTGCAATGATTTTGCATCTGGAATTCTGCTATCCCCTAGAACAGCATGTTTGCTGAAAGGAACCAAGTGACCCCAAATGACTGAATTCTTTCATGCTTCAGCAGAGATGGCTTCTTACCAGGGCAGCCCTGTTGTGAATGAGAAGAATGCTGACTTTCCTCTTCTTTAATTGCAGTTCTTTTTTAACATCAGCTCGGATAGCCAAGAGGGGCTCTACAGCCTATACTTCCATAAGTGTGTTGGCAAGAAGGGGCCAGCTAATGATCAGCTGCTATTTAGTCTGGATGTGAGTATGGCTTCTAAAGTAGAATTAACTCATTCACTTAGGCTGAGGGGTGCAGCTTTCAGCTCCAGCTTGTAACTGAGCCCACACTGCACACGAGAGCACATATGGGGTGGGAAGTGATTCAGAGTTGTTACCAGTCCCTGCAGAGGCATTTCTGAAGGAAGCAACTACTGTAAAAATAATTAAAAGACTAGTTTTGTAGAAATATCTGAAAGTCTGAAGAGTGAATGTGGGCTGGGCTCGGCGTGCACAGTTGTTGTGACTGGATGCTGTGATGGGATGGGAGCTAAAACAGCTGTTTGTGTTCTGCTGCACTTGAGCTCCCTTTTTTCTTTACATCATTGCACATATTAAGGCTCTTGCTGCAATCTAAATTGTTGGTATTTGTGAATTCAGTGTTATTGCTTGTTCTGGCCTAATTAAGGATGTGTTTTTATGGTGTTAGATGCATATTTTAAAGGCAATATGTTCTAGCAAATGTCTCATCTCTTTTGATATCCAAGGGTTTGGTCGTATGTTTGTTTGGGCATTATCACAGCTTGGGTTTTCTCCTTTTTTTCTCTTTCCTGTGCTCATGCTGGTGTATAATGAGCCAGTCTGTTATGAATCCTCTCACTGACTGAGGTAACTCAGCCAGATCAACCCCCTGAATTGCTTTTTACATGATTATGTTGATGCAACTGTAGGGGAACCTGTAGGTAATAAAAGTTAGCAGCCCTGACTTAACTCATGCTGGGCTGCTTTAATCTGCTGGTGAAGTTGTATGTTTAGAAGACCAACTTTTTGAATTGCTGTTTGATCTGCTGAAGAAATTGGAAAGAGAAGAGAACTTGGATAACTGACCTGCTTGGATGTACTTAGGGTTTCAGTACTGCAAACTAGTCCTAATCCATTATTTTATTGAAGTCTTCATACATATAATCAAGCCACTTGGGGGCATAAATTGGATGCTAAATAATGCTTCTGTTTTCTCAGTCACAGAGTAACAGGCTGGCAGCATATTGTAGATACTGTTTCTGAATCAAAGGTGGGCAAGCTGTGAAATTTGGGAGAGGGAACAACTATTCTTTAGGGAAATTACTTTGCCTTTCTCAATTACGTTGCATAACTGAAACATTGTTTTTCAAGGAGGTTATTCTTGTGGCAGTAATTTTGCAAAATGTTTTGAGAGTCTTGAGGATAAAGAGTTGGCTTTGATTTTTTTTTTTTTTTTAATTTGAGTCTCCCAACAGTCACTTTTTCAGAAAAGCTCACTTTAAATGGGTGAATTTGATTGTGAACTGTAATTGCTAACTCAATAATTTAAAAAAAAAGTCTTTTTTCGACTGTGCACGTAACATGCCTTTAATATTCAGATAGAAATTACGGAAAAGAATCCTGAAAGCTACCTCTCAGCAGGTGAAATCCCACTGCCAAAACTGTACATTTCCATGGCCATGTTCTTTTTCCTGTCTGGGACTGTTTGGATCCACATACTTCGTAAACGCAGGTAAGCAGGTTAGCTGGCTGTCTTTTTTTAAAGAAATACGTTTTTTTACTGATGACTTTTAGTTGATGCTCCTCCTCCTTTTCTTTCTTCCCAGAAATGATGTTTTTAAGATTCACTGGCTCATGGCAGCCCTTCCTTTCACAAAATCGCTGTCCTTGGTCTTCCATGCGGTACGTGTAACATCTCTACTGAAGTTGTTCACCTGGGAAAGTAGAAACGTGGAATCCAGGCCATGCTGTTAGAAAAATCTGCTTTGGAGAGGAGGGAGAACTGTCCTTAATACTGAAGCATTGGAACTGAACTGCAGCTCTTTGGTAGAAGTGATTCAGTTTTCATCAGCAAATTCTGACCTTAAATACAACTGAGATCATGGCCTGAAGTGTTGAAGCAGCAAGGGTTGAGGGTTTAATGAGCACCACAATTTCTGATGTTTTGGCCATCTGAGGCTGGCCTGGAAGCTTGAGCTGTGCTGCTGCTTCAGCTTCATGGCTTGCTGTGAATGTTAATAAATGGAAACCTTGGTCAGTGTTTGTGAAATTCAAGGGCACTGCTGTAGGTGAAGTATTATGGTGTGTGGTAACAGACTTCACCTTATCAGCTTTAAGACTTTCAACAGATCAAGTCTGTGAAATGTATTTTCCACTTTCCACTGTAAAGATCTCATAAATAAAGGTAGTGGCAAGCACTTAATCCTTCAGTGTGTGTGCCAGCCACGATCTTCACCTTCATGTTCGTGGTAAAATAGCTGCTACAAATGTTTTTGGAGTCTAATGAAGTGAATTTGGCTTCCAGTAAAAGTGAAACTAGAAAGCCTCTAGTTCAGGGAATGCAACTGAACTTGAACAATGAATGAATAAGTAGGTTCCAAAATGCAGTTGATTCGGTATAGCTAAGCATGGGAGTGTGTGGGAAGGATGTAGATTGTACGAGATACATCCACTAACACTTAGGAAATGCAGCAAGTGGAAATGATCTCACTGTTGCTAAACAAAACTAGAATGTGTTGGGAGGAAGTGATCTCTGAATGTGACAGAGCTGAGTTTGCACACACTGGTTGGAAAATGAAACTGGAAGTGGTTGTCAAGCAGATCTGTGTTACAGAGGGTGGGGTGCTGAAGAGCAGCTTGTAAAGTGCTGTATTTTCTGCTTCCAGATCGACTATCACTACATCTCTTCTCAGGGATTTCCCATTGAGGGCTGGGCTGTTGTTTATTACATCACTCACCTGTAAGTATGTCAGAAGATGGATGTGATAGATTCAGACAATAGAATGAATTGCCTCCCTCCGGAGCAAACTGGGAAATTGTTGTCTTCTCATTCAGACCACAGTCCCAAAGAATCAGCAATCAGCCCTGAGTGAAGGGGAAAGCTCCACTTACAGAGGGCAGCTGCAGAGAATTGGCACTTCTGTGGGTGGAGGAGTAAAAGGATAACAAATGCTTTGCTTCCTTTGTTCACACTAATATTCAAGTATCTAATTTGCTCTTGGTGTGAATGGTAAGAGGGCACAGCTGCCTGTGTTTTGCCTGTGTTCACGATGGTGAATGGATGGCTCCCCCAGGAGAAGACTGCATTTATTGACAATTGTGAATGAAGCCTAATACTGCTCTGTGATACACAGTTGTAGGCAAGTACATCTGCTCCACTATTGTGGGACGGATAAGTGCTTGCCAAAATTATGAATAGCAAAGCATTTGTTTGGGTTTGTGGCTTTACTGGCTGTGGGAGAGAACCTGGGCACAAGAGGAAGTGTGATAAAGTCTCTCACTGTTTCTCTTGCAGACTGAAGGGTGCCCTTCTGTTCATCACCATCGCCCTCATTGGCACAGGCTGGGCTTTCATTAAACACATCCTGTCAGATAAAGACAAAAAAATTTTCATGATTGTCATCCCACTTCAGGTGAGGACTGAGGGGTGTCAGTATTTCCTGTCTTGTGAGGAGAACTGCTTTTGCAGACTGGAAAAGGCTGTGAAAACTTCACATAATATCACATATTTACTGCTTGTATTGGTTACAGTACAAATTGAGCTGGAATTTCTCAGGCTAGAAATTACTTCTCTGATTTCTTCTATTTTTCCCTCTATATTGAGCATGAGATAATGGTGATCAAATAGTTTCAGCAAATTAACAAGTGGCTATAAGGAAGGTATATTCATGCTGGGACAACATTTGGGCTGGATAACAGTACTAGACTGCTATGCAGAGGAATTAAATGAAAGCTGTCACTTCTCAAATGCTTGAGTGACTTCAGGAAATAAAAATGGAAAACCCAGGACTTGTAGGCCTGGTGTGTCTGAGGGAAACATTCCCAGTGTGTTCAAAGTGATCAGTGTCCTGGTCCAGGGACTGAAGTACACAGGAGAGCAGCACTTCTGATTTTTGTAAATAGAACAGTTTTTTGCCCTTTCCTGATGAAGTCCCTTACCCAGCTGCAAAACCAGAAGTATAAAATTAATGTTTGAGGCTCTTACAGAGCTCAGGTGTGGAGTCCAAAAAATGGTTGATGACCTGTCAGAGTTATTGGGTTAATTTAGAATTATGTGCTTAAACTATTGTCTGTATGTGCATCTGCAGAGTTCTGCTTCTATATATAAAAACAATCAGATTTTGCTCTCTTTTTCTCTACTGATACAGTAGATTCAGCACAGTGTGTAAAAAAAGAACTACTTTCTGAATATCAGCAGGAATAAGTCCCAATCAGTTTTATTTCCATAAACCTTGTGAAGGCGTTGCTGAACGTGTGACTTCTAGACGTAGAGCTGCAGGAAAAATTATTGATGTTACTGACTGGGCTTTTGCTGAACTGGCAACACACATGTGTCTCCTTGGAAGGTTTCTGAAGCCATGGAACATTTCTTGTTGTGCAGGTGCTGGCGAACGTGGCGTACATTATCATCGAGTCAACAGAGGAGGGCACGACTGAATATGGCCTGTGGAAAGAAATCCTTTTCCTGGTGGACTTGCTGTGCTGTGGAGCCATCCTGTTTCCAGTGGTATGGTGAGTTGCTGTATGTGCTGTGTGGTTGCAGAGCCCTGGTGGCTCGAGCTGTTTCTGAGTTAATGGGCATTGACAGCTTGTTGGAGCTGCAGATACTGTGAAGCGAAAGAAGTCAGTGGTCCTGTGGAGTCAAACATTCTGTTATCTTTTTTTTCAAACTTTATAAGCCTTGACACTTCAGTCTAGTGTTGCGGAAGACACTGGTTTTGGGGATGTTAGTGGGGATAAGGTAAGGTGGGCAGTGATGTAAACGTGGCCAGCACAGTGCAGACTGTAAGTGCTTTTGAAACTTGGATTTTTGCACAAGCGCTGACTCTCTAAATTGAAAAATGGGATTTTGCTTCACTGACTGAGATTAGAAACTAGACTGCTACATTTTAAGACAATACTGTTGTCTAAGATCAGGGCTGCCTTCAAGCAGAGTAGCTGCATGTTTATTTGACTGTTTAGGAGAAATAATCCCACAGGGAGCATTTCCCCGCCCTTCCTTCCACTCTACTTGGCAAGGAATAATGTTGGTTATATAAAACCCGACCAAAACACTGATAATTCAGATAAACACTATTGTTGCTGCTTGCCAGTTAACCAGAACATTTATCTTCTAAATGCATTTTGTCTTAATTGAATAAACAGCTGGGTTTAAGGGAAGATATGAAGGAGCTTCTGTCTCCTTGGTTTGTAAACACAGAATATTCTTCTTTTTCTCCAGTATCTCTATTTTTTTCTGAAATGCAAAATGTATGCAGAATGTATATAAATGTCTGGTAACATGTCATCTCTCCCAATTGTGTAACTCTAGTTTTTCAGATAACTCTGTTGCTCAGTAGATGGAAATAAGCCTCAGCTTGACTTATGCTGGTGGGATTCAGCTGTCCTTCCCTTCCCAGTTGTATTCTGTGTAAAGGCAGAGCCCTGCACAGTCCTGGTGGCCTTCTGCCAAGGCTGGGAAACGTATTCCAAGGAATTTGCACTGCTCACTTGTCCTTTCCTCCTCTTCAGTCAAAATGCTGCAGCTCTGAGGTTGAGATATTTGGGTCTGGCAAATAAAACTCGTGGCCAGACTCTGATTTCCTGTGACAGAAGTGACTTCTCTGTGTGTCCAACCTAGTGATAGGCTGGTACAAAACTCACTTTCCGTAAAGGAACTGTATTTGAAGAACAAATGCATGTGGGTGAGCTGTCCTGTGACTGTTTATAGTGTGCAACCAGTGTTCCTGCATTGCCATGGTGCCAACATAAACTGGCACTGAAGCCCCTGACATAAAATCCTGCCTCTTTTTCATCTGCTTAGTGTCACTGCAGCTGGTGGGATGATTCATGTGAGCAAGGTGACTAAGCCTTGGCCCCTGGATTTACATTCCTGCAGGGTAGTTTCTGTTACATAAGTTGCCCATGTAGATGTCTAAGCTGTAATCAACTATTTAAATGAAAATAGCTTAAAAGAGCAGTGAGATGCCAAATGCTTGGCAGTTCTCTGAAGAGTGGCTCAGCTTAATTTTACAAGTGGAAAGCATTATGCAGGAAAATGCCCCAGTTTCTCACTCTGCTCCCTCCCTACCTCCCACAAACCTTTCTGTAGGCTGAAGTGGGCTTTAGCAATCTGCTTTCTTAATCCCAAGGAAACAGAGATACTTGAGCTCACTGCCTGAGCTGGGGGCATGAGGGTGGAGTGTGTGCAGTGCCAAGCACAGTTAATTCTGATCACACCCCAGCCATAAAGAGCTAACAAAACTTGTCAGTGATCTAGGGGACTACAGTGGAAACTTACAGCTAATATATTCTTTATTTTTATTTTTCAGGTCAATAAGACATTTACAGGAGGCTTCAGCAACAGATGGGAAAGGCAAGTAATCTGTCTTTTTTTTCCTGTTTTATACCTCATGTCATAATGCCAGAATTTCAAACATGTGATGCTAATTTAAAATATGTAAACTAAAACTATAAATCTACACTATTTTAGTGTCACTCTGCTTTTCCTCAGTGGGCTCATGGGAATAACTTTTGGAAAATGACCTTTTTTGTGTACTGCTTTGACTATCAGAACTGCTGTGTGTAACTCCCTCTCTGCTGCCTGCACAGCTCTCTGTGCTTGAGCTAAACTTGACATCTAGAGCAAATCATTTTGACAGATTTGCCATTTTTTTCTCACTTGAATGTTCAGAAGCAGAACTAGAAATGAATTCCAGAATTGCTGACTATTAGTCTAACCAGACCCCCTTAGTTCAATCTCTGCAGAACTCTGTTCCTGGCAAAATAGAGGGAACCAAACCTCATTATGAAACAAAACATAACTTGGCATTCAGTGTAGCAGAGTTCTTGACTTGCCCATGTTTGTACAGCAGCTCCAAGGGCTGCTGGTGGAAAGTGGAGTCATGTTTATTGTAGCAGTGAAAATGAGGTGATGGATGGAAGGCCAACCCCAGTCCAGCTGCTGTAGTGTGTGCTTTTCCTGCCTCACCTGCTCCCTTCTGAATTAGCTCCTCAAGAAGCTCTGGAGCATAGCACTGATTTCCTTGGAAGCAGGCAGCCATTTCAATCTTCTGTCATTTGGTGGCTTATTCTTCTCAGAAGCTTCATTTGTAGAAGGTCATTTGTTGGCAACAACTTTTTAACCCAGTCTTATCCTTTAACTCTTGTCTTTCTTTCTGGAGATGTATTCCCAGGTCTGGATACTTCTTCCAGCCATTTTCTTGGCTTTCATTGCCATTCTTGCATTTCACTGCTATGATTGGCACTGTAGGTGAAGTATAAGGCTGATACCGAACTCAGCTCTGTTCAGATCACAGATTAGGGTGGTTGTGTTTTTTTTTTTTTTTTGCCATCTGTTAAATTAAAACAATACTTAGAATGAATTTGGGGGATTTTTAAGTTCTGAGCTGTTAAAAGAGCCCTCAAATAACAACACTATACACAAAAAAAACTCCTTCAAAACACAAAGGTGGACAATTATTAATTTCTAATAGAAACAAATGTAATAAGGGTCAGTGTTAATAATGCAACATTAATTCTCTTGGTAGCTTTCTTACTGGTGTGTTCACTTGGGTTTGGTGACATTCACTGATGAATTTGTTATATGTTGTCCACCAGGCACATGTTCTGGAGTATTTATGCTCTTACTCTTAAAAAAGTGCTAAAATTTAGATACTCCTTGAAGCAGTCTCTTCTGAACAGAGGACTTCACATGTGTCAGGCCTGGTTCTTTTTCCTGGGTGGCTGTGGATCTGACTGTTCCTGGTGCTGGGCACACAGCAGTTAGCGCATGTAACTGAGATACCAATTCCAGATCTGGTGGCCCCAGGTGTTCTCCCCGTGCCTACCTTGGTTCTTATCACAAGATGGTGCTATGGAGTTTGCTTAACTTCAGATATCCTGAGTGAAGGAGAGGTGGCCAAGCAGCAAGGGTGTTCAGCATCAGGACTGGACCTGTCCACTGTCCTTCCTAACTGGTGGAATCCAGATCTGAGTAAACCCAAGCAGTTCTGAAGGATGCACTGTGGTGTGTACCAGAAAATGTTAATTTTAGAGGAAATTACTGTCTCTTTACAGTTAGCCAGTGCTATGCACAGTAGCCCTTAAGGACTGTTTTAGTCCTCTGTATTGTGTTGTTCTCCATGGGTAATGATGCTCTTTATTGTGAATGTTGCTTGTGGATCACCTACTGCTGTTACCAGCTTTACCTACTGGTGTTGCCATCTGGTTGTGCAGATCCTGCGAGTTCAGTAACTGTGTGCTGATTGGGACTTAGCGACTGCGTTATGCTACACTAATAATAAAACAATATCTAAGGAAAATATTTTCAGGGGAGACATTGCATAGACTGACAGCAGATTGTGGCCAGGAGAGCCACAGTGCTGGGACTCACTTGTGAAACACAATCTGTTTAGAGGCTGTTGATGGGAGCCCTCGGGGAGCAAGTGGATGGCAATGTGATGCCAGAAGCAGAATGTGACCTAACGATGTCACGCTGTTACTGTGTCTTGTTGAGAAAACCAGAAGTGATTTGGTTGCACTGTAAAATATAAAATCATTCATGGTAGGCTTATCAATGAACAGTCTTTACTAGAACCACGTGCTCTTTGCTCTGGAGGCTTCCCTTGGAGGCTCTGTTCTGCAGAGATGATGCTCAGTGTCTCAGCTTCTCATATGAAGAACAGAACCAGCTCTAACTCTCAAATCACCAGCATTTTATTTCTTGCTGTTGAAAGTAGTTTTCTGCTGAAGTAGTAAAAATTACTGGATCCTCTTATATGCAGTTTAAGTGCTGCACTGGCTGTCCTGTGGTTAGAACTGGATCTTGTGCAGACAGTCCTTGTTGGACTGGCTGTTGCCTGCTGGGATTTATTGTCTGGTCAAAGGCTGCTTTCCCTGTAGCTTCATTAACTTATAGAGTGTATTGGGGAATTACATACTAGACATTCACTAGGTTTTTTTTCCTGGCACTGAGTCTTCTGGTGACCTTCTTGCTGGTGAGAGAGACCTAAGGAAAATTATTTTTGCTTCCTTGCATCTGTTAGAACTAACAACTCCAGGACTTTAAGGCTTGGTATCTTGGTGGTGTTTCCTGACTGTTTGTCTTGTTCTCTTGTTATAAATGGCAGTGATTTGGAGTTACTAGCTGATAGTCATTTAAACCAGATTATTTTAAGTTATTCTAACGTAGAAAAGCTGGAGGAATGGGTCTAAAGCCATAATTATCCAGGGAGACCTTAGATACACAGATGCTGTGGATTGATAGTGAGGAGTAGACATGGCACAGTGATACAGCTCAGTTTGAGCTGCCTGGTTGTTTGCTTTTTTTTCCCATGAAGGTGATCTTTAAAGCAGTAAGTCTGACCTACACAGGCTTCTTATCTTGCACAGCAGTGGGTGTAAACATCCCATTTTTAGAAGCTTTTTTCCCTTCCCTTTAAAAATCGCCACCTTCAGACTTAAGCAAGTGCTCAGCTACACCTCTTTGATCTGTCACTACATCTTCCTTCAGATGGGAGCTTGTGCTCTCTGTCCACTCCTAGATCTGCATTGCAAATGTCTTGTAGATTTAAGGAAATCAGCCTTGCAAGCTGACCTAGAATCCTTCAGGCTGCAAAGCTGCTCAACTGCCACCACCTCGTTTACAGGCATCATGAGAAAAGAGAGGGAGTATATACATATTATTTAGATATTATTTTGCTTGAAATGCCAAGCTCTGGGTCACTGGACCTCTTAAGTCTCATAACCCACTCTAGTCATCGTGTCATCTGTTGTTTGAGGGAGGAATGGGGGTTGAAAACGTTGCTGCAGTTTGTTCTGCTGGTACCTCCGTGTGTGACAGCGTGATGAGAATGTGACACGGCACACTCAGATCGTGGTTTGCTGTTTTCCTGGAGCGCTGCAGCATGTCACAGGTGGCAGCAGAATTAGGGGAAATAGATTGCAGTGTGGAGCTCCCAGGCAACATTCCCTGTGTTCTGTGCAGGGGGTATATAAGGATTAGTGCTCTCGTGCTTGCCCCCATGGCGGGAAAAACCACTTGCAGTATTCAGTGTCTTCCTGATGGTGTGCCATGAAAATGCTGTGGACAAAGAGCCTGGTCCTGCCTGGTGGTGCAGGGCAGCCTCTGCTTGGATGAGCTCAGCACCGCTTCCAGGTGCCCCAGGTGCTGTCCAGGGTTGATGTAGTAACTGCACGTTGCTTATCCTGTACTTTGGACTTTCATCTGACCCTTTTGTGCCAAGTGACTGGTGTATTTCGGGATATTCAAGATGAACTAGTCTGTGCCACCTTCTCATGCGTGCCATGAGTGTTGCTGTGTCTGTCTGACCTCCTCTTTCTAGTACAGGAGTGCTTTTAAGCAGAGTACTCTAGAGGCTGTAGAGCCACGCTTCTCAGACTTGCTTTTTTGAGGTCTAGATCTACATGTGTCCTGCACCACTGGGGAGAACAGAAAACTTCCATTTGCAATTCGATAATGGCCCAGATCACATCTCAAATGCACCAGAGTGAGCAGAGCAAGCAAAGCATTGTAAAGATGTTCTCAGCTGTACTTGAGTGTGTTCTCTTGCTGCTTTATGGGTTTGCCTTTTGTACTGTATTGTCTGGGCTTGAGCCCCCCTGTGCCCTCAGCTGCAGTCCCGGGATTGTTATTACATAAATATTCTGAAAAGGTCAGATGTATTCATCAAAAAGCTTATTGTGTGGTGTGCAGGGCTGCGGTGGATGGTCCAGCTTTCCTTTTTCCATCCTACCAGGCAGTGTCAGCATTGGAAATTAGCACAGGGCAATCTGAAAAGGAGACTGCTTATCAAAATCCTGGGCTGTGCTGTGTTTTGATCGAGGCAGATCAGGCTATCGCAGACACAAGCTGTTCAAGTAAATGGTGATAGAGAGGGAAAACTGAGGGGAGCAAGGTATAGATGTTATGAGTCTTTCTTGGAAAGATGGCTTTCATCTTTTTAATTACCCTATGAAAGAGATGGAACACAGGTATGAATTAATTTGTAAAATCTTTGGTAGAAAGTCTTTTTAATTTCATTTTTTCCCTTCTCTGCAGTTAAGTACTGTTCTTTGCAGAATGGTTATCATACTTGAAACATAAATTTACCCAGCCTTTACTGCCTGCTGTGATTGCTGCTGTGTTATCGCAGCTTTACAGGTTGGGGCTGCAAGTGATTCAAGTCGTAAGTGACAGCTGCTGGCCAAGCCTCGCCGCAAGTGCTGCTGTCAGTGCCTGGGCTGCCAGGCTGAGGTGAACAGAAGTCTTCAACTGTCCAGGACAGCAAGACTCAAATATTACTGCTTGGAGCACGTTCAGACTGTGAAGAAGCAAATCATAGGCTGCTGATGCCAAGCAATGATGATTTTATATTTTCTCCAGAACAGTGTGTCCTGTAACTTTGAGTTGTTTAAAAAAAAAAAAAAAAAAAACACTGGCAGAATTTTGTAGACATGCATTAATACTGACTTGAGTATCTGATAGTGAAGGATTTCTGCTGTTGAGGCAGCTGGAAGAGAGCACCTGGTTCTAATAAATCAGCAAGCCAGCTTCCACTGGTGACTTTTTTGCCTTTCTGCTTGGTGGTGGTTGCCTTTTTTCCTTCCTTCACCTTTCTTTCCCCTGCTCAAACATTCTAGATGGGTGGACATACCAACTTATGACTCCTTGGTATTGATTATCATGATGAGTAGGTGAGATCTTGAGCTGTGCTTCATCAGCTGGGAGAGGTGGCACTGTGACACTTCACTTGGCAGCCAGATCTTTGTCTGTGCTGTCCTTTCATCCTCTGCACTGCGTGAATCCAACAGAAATGACTCCCCAGCTCGCTGTTGTTGTCTGTAAAGCACTGATGGACTGGCAGTTTGAATCACAGCTGTTGAGTTGGTGTTCCTTGAACTACAAAGCCTGGTAATTCTCATGGCCTGTCACTGCACCAGTTGGTGGCAGTTCCTGAAGTTGGATGCGTTGAGTTCAAAATAGATCCTTCTGTGTGCAAACTGGTGTGTGGGAAATCACAAGATCTTCGTGGTCACACTTAATGCAGCTCTCCTTAAAATAGGACAATATTGCTTCCCTGCTTCATGATTTATTGCATATTTACACAATTTAATCTTTCACCAACTCTATTGGGAAAAGCTTTTAATATCAGGTCATCATGCCTTGTGTTAGTCAAGTGCTGCTCTTGGAGTGTTTCTGCTGGAGGACGGTTTGTGTTGTCTCAAGGTGTCCGTAGCTTTCAGTGGTTCTCATGGAACACTAAATATAAGCTGGAAAGGGACTCTTGATCTCTAGATTATACAAATTATCATTATAACAGAATGTTGCCTGACTTCATTGTAGTTTCTCTGGTGGGAAGCTACAGGAGTTTATTTGGAGCAGTGCGTTTGATGTTGCCTTTCTCTAAGAAAAACTGCTTTGTTCTTGTCACAGGGACTGAAACATTTCTTTGGGAACTATCAGCCCTTCTCTTCCTCATGTGTAATACTGTATTTTGCTCTCTTGTGAACCTGGAAGACCTTATGTGCAAATATATGCAGCCTTTTATAAATTTGTGCTGGGGGTGAATCCTGTGAGGGGGTGCAGGTGAAATTAACACACAATGTATTGCACTTCTACATCTGAAAAATACATTATGAGGGCTTGGAGGGACTATCAGTAAATATGTGGCAACATTTTTGAACTGGCAGCTTGTATCACTGGCTATAAACTGCATCTCTGTAGGCTGTCAACATATCTTGGACTCTTTGCCTCTCATGTTGTCACAAAAGCATCAGGAGTCTGTGTTTGTAATCCTGCTGCACGTATAAAACCTGACTCTCAAACCAGAGCTGACAGCTGTTCCATCTGTTGTTGACCTCAGCTCGTTCACATGAGTGTCTGCTGTGCTCCTGCAGCTGATGGGATCTGTCCAACACACGGAGGTTTGCCCGGGGCCTTGGCTTACACGGCTTGTGGCGGGAACACTTGCGTTTAATAACTGTTTAGGATGATTTCCCATTTCACTTGTAAGCTGTGACAGAGCCACGAACATCCTGCTTAGATGTTAAAATGCCTGTGCTGCAGTTCAACGAGATGCAGTGGTTCCCAGAGCTGTGATTACCCCAAAGTTGCTCAGGTCAGCAAGGCCTCTAGAAAAGACAGGAATTTTCTAGGAGGTGGTGTCAGATGGTGTGGCCGTTCTGGCAGGAGTGAGGTGATTGTATCTACTTGACTGTACATGGGTAGAGGAAGTTTGCAGAGTGTGTGCATATAAAATTTAGTGTAAAAGCAATCTGAGTTCCCTTTTTAAGAGAGAATTCACCCCAGCCTGACAATTGTCCAGTGTATGGACACACCAGTCTGGCCTGCCTTGGAGTGCCCAGTGGGGTGTGAGACAAACCCTTCTAGTCTGGGATTAACTGAGTCCTGGTTTTGACCACTGCAGACAAGCAGAAAAATTAACTGTCTCACTTTAACAATTTTCTGATGGACTTTTGTGTTCTCTTGATAGCTGCCATTAACCTAGCAAAGCTGAAGCTCTTCAGACATTACTATGTTATGGTAAGTAAAACACTTGTACACAGGCATGCAGAGCACTTGGAAGCTGTTCAAACCCTTAAATGGAATACTTGTTGGAAGCTACCACAGCTGGTGGATGTGGTAGAGGTGATCCTAGCTCTGTGCTTTGGCATCTTGGTCAACTGGCTTACAATCCCAAAAGCAGCTTCCCTTTTTTTTCCTAGTGGTTGCATCCTTCTGTCTATCTTTAAATTGGTTCCAGCTATTTGTAATGCTTCCTGATTTCCTCTGGAGACAGCTTGAGCTGCCAGTTGAATTGATGGGCTTGAATAACATACTGTAAACTTGCTAAAAATTAAACTTGGGACCAAATGGTGCCTTGAGATGCATGTGTGCAGCTTGTGATGAAGTCAGTGGGAGCCATGGGTATATCTCCCAGGAGAACACAGGCTTCTTAATGATTTCCAACAGCCTCATTTCAGGCTCTTATAAGTGGTAAGAGTGATAAATTACAAGGGTGATTCTTTGAGTTCTATGAAATCGTAATACTTAAAGCATTTCCTGCTGTAACGTGAGTGTGTTACCAACAGCTGGAGTTATTTGGATGTTGAACAAGCAGTCGAGCCCTCGGCCTGTATCTTCCATATTTATTGAGGAGCATAATAAGGCCAGTCTGACATGAGGAGTTGTCTGGGAATTGCTTGAGCTATTTCTCTGGAAAAAGAGGTTCTGTAAGGACAGTGCTATTGTTCTCATCACGCTTTCTCCTTTCCCTTCCCAGATTGTGTGTTACATTTACTTCACACGGATCATTGCCATTCTCATAAAGATTGCTGTTCCATTCCAGTGGAAATGGCTGTACCAGGTATTTGCCAGCAAAGGACAATACATCCATTCCTGGGCTTTTTTTTTTTCCTCTCTATTATTCTTTAAATGTAACAGCACCAAAAAAAAATCTGTAAATTGATCCTCATGTTATAGTAGAACATCTCAAAAGCACAATGCTGCACCCTTTCTCCTCCTGATTTTTATCAGTGATATGCTTAAGGTGAAGGAATATATTTTTAGTCTTATGTTTGTCCAGTGAGCCTGCTGGATTATACATGAGATGTCTGAAAGTAATTGCATTATTGATTTTTCTTAGTCTTTCAATTTAAAGATGTCTGAAGGAAATTAATCAAGAACATACAAAGAAGAAAAAAAAATTAGCCACGTTTGTCCTGTGTAATTGAGGCCCCAGGGAGCCAGAGAATTAGGCTTTTGCTCTTCCATCTACAGGCTTTATTGCCTAGTGACTTTTAAATACTTGGTTTCTTAACATATAATCCAAGTAACTGTGCAGGGAGTCCTTGGAATACATTAACTGTTGAAAATACCAAATAACTTAGGGATTATTCCCCCTCTCCCCCCATTTAAAAGCCAAGTCTTGCCATAGTTCTTTGAAAGCTCTGAAGTGATGGATAGAACTGTAACTGTATTTAAAATGACAGGGAAAGCTTGAAAGAACAAAGGGTTTGACAGCCTTTAGCCTGGGATTGATGATAACAGGGCAGGAATTGCTTTCTTTCTGCTCTGGCACAGGCTCCTTGGCCATTAAACTCTGAACCTTATGAATGAGGAGAGATGTTGTGTGACCATGAAGCATTACAGGACTGAACTTCAACCCTGTGTTTTCACTTGCAGCTGCTGGATGAAATGGCCACGCTTGTGTTCTTTGTCCTCACTGGGTACAAGTTCCGTCCAGCGTCAGACAACCCTTATCTACAGCTTTCTCAGGATGATGAGGATGACCTGGAGATGGAAGCTGTGTAAGAAACCCCTTCCCCTCCTTTTTTTTTTTTTTTCTTTAACCTCTTCACTTGATTTGAGAAAAGTGATGTTTAAAACCAGTTTACTTGAATCTCTCTAAATCCTTCTCTGAAAAGGATTCGGGTCTGCCCACACGCTTAAAGACGAGGTGTCTGTTTGGGGTGTGTAAAGAGATTTGTGTTTATGCACAGGAGCCTCTAACGTGGCTATAGCAGTAGTGTGGAATAGGTTGGTAAAGCTTTTTGTGGGGCAAAAAGATGCCCATGACAATATCAAGTAATAAAGCTTCTGAGTTTACTTTATGTCATGGAACACGAACGAGCCTTACAGATTGTCATTAATGCTTCATATTTATTTTAAAAAAACTCCCAAAAACCCAAGCCAACAACAAAAATGATTTGCCAATCTACAGAACATAAATGACCACGATGCCTTGGCATTCAGCCTGTACCTTTGCAAAAATTTATCTAAAGCAGCACTGAGCCAAGGAGATGGATTTTTTGCTGATGCTTTTCCCTGTTCTGTTCCTCGCTGCTAAATCGTGAGGCACCACAAATGCTTCAGGACCTGAGCTAGTCTGGAGAAATGATAAAGCAGGGCTCAGCCTAAGTCCCTGTCGTTTGCTCTGCAGTGATTTTCTGAGGACTTAGAAAATGAGTGGCATTTCTGAATTTATGATAGAAGCTGCCCTAAGAAATTCAGCCTGCCAGGAGTGTTGGGTACAGCTATAACTGCCACAGACTCTGCTGCCTTAATAGGAGCAGAGCCAGCCTAATCCTTTAGTAGTTATACATTTCATGCATAATTGCAATTCATGTACAGGCTCACAAGCCTATTCCTAAGAGTTTTTCCAATTTGCTAAATCTCCTTTACCTGATCTTGGGTGAAATAAATGAACTCTCCAATTTGTAATACAGAAGTAAAAAAAAAAAAAAAAAAGTCGGGATGTGTTTGCTCTCCTAGTTAGCTCAGAAAGAAATGGATCTTACTGGGAAATGGCTACAAGGAGGTTTGAATCATAGAATCCAACCTCAAGTGTAATCTAAGGAGTTGAACTTCTCAGAAATATCGCTGGTAACAAAGATCTTTTTTAATGCTTAGCTATTTTTTGCTTTGGGTCTAGAAAATCTGTCATATTTTCAAGTGGAATCCAACTAGTGGGTAGTGACCTTAAAATCACTTTCACTTATAGGTGTTAAAATGGTTATGTAAGAAACTGATTTCAGTTTGGTAGCTGGTAAATAGATATTGACATCGGGAAGGCACTGCCTGAACTGGAAGATGTGGCAGGATTTGTGATTGTACCACAATGGGCTTTTTTAATTGTTGCCTGTTGGAGTGAATTTCTATCTTGCCTTATGTGCTTAATGAATTTTTGCTTGTGGGTTTGTGGGTTTTTTTTAGGACTAATAATAGGACACCTTTCAAATACAGTGATGTCAATCAGTTAAAGAAATTGCTAAATTTAGGAGAATCTGACAGAAATAAGCTGGAGAAATTTTAATGAACTAATTCACTGATTTAGATCTCACCTCAGTGAAACAGAATTACTAGAAACCCAAAGATCAGAGTTCCTTGTGAGCCTTTTCCTGGTAAGGCATTTTGCTCTTTGCCTTGAGAGTTTCTATTGTTGTGCCTTGTGGGTTGCTCCCTTTAGCCTTGCTTGAATTTTTCTCATCTGATTCACCAGAAGTTTTACTCCATTTGGGCACTTGGCAGGGTATAATCTGTGTCTGGTTCTCTCTTCCCCACCTCCATCAGGGAGGTTAAGTTTGCACTTATTTGAAAAGCAGAGTTTATGCACATTCTGTGACAGGTGAAGCACTGCACTCGAAGTGCATTAAATTTCTTATTGACTTGGGTCTTGCTGGTCCTATTTTTTGCATTTATAAATATTAAGTGTTGTTTCTGGGGGGGAGTAAGGGGAAATTACAGATTATTTGAGCAGGTGACTCAGTGCCTGACAGTGACCTGATTAACCATTGCATGAGTGTTTTGTCTTTTATGTGATAAATACCCACTTGTCTTCAGAGGCTATGGCAGAAGGTAAAAGCCTGCAGACTTCATGGTGTTCTGCTGTGTCTTACTGACAGGTTTTATGGTTATTTTCCTCTCCCAGAGGTTTTTTGTTAAAATTAGCTTCTGTAAAACAGAAGTGTTCAGTTTCTTTAGACTTAACATCTCTATGAGCCAACGGAGAGGAAAGCTGGGAGGTCAAGCCTGTTTTCCAGGCCTGCTTTTCTTCCAGCACTTAAAAAAAGAACATTTTAAGAGCAACTCTCTAGCTCGTGTCTGTTTTCATGCAGTGCAAACTATACAAAGCTTGATCTTGCAATAAATGTAAATACTGTTAAGGACACTGGAAATCTGCAATCTATCAAGAAAAATCCACAGGTTAGGTGTCTGTGACAGAAGCAACTTAAGGCACAGCTCTTCTCTCTGGAAATTCTTGTAACTCTCAAGAATAAAACATAAATCAAGAATGGCAAAGGTGACTTGTAATAAGTCTTTTCAGCTAAAACGCCTCTGTATTGGAGAAAGAATCCCCAGACATTACAGGACCTTCTCTGCAGTTATTCCAGGCTCAACACAAGTTGTGCTGGTGGGGAGGAAAGTGTGGCTAGAACCTGAGCTTAGAACCAGCCTGTTCTTTTCCAAGCAGGACCAGTAAGCTCTTAATCATGAGCAAGGAGCCTTTCTGTGTACTCTGTGCTGGGCAGCTCGTTCTGTCAGCACGTGGGCTCCTCGCTGACAGTTTGTTAGATTGAAGTTCCCGGCCTGAAAAGGTGCAGCCACACTTGGCAGAAAGAGCTGTCAGGCTTTCCATGAAGCTGGGGCATGAACACAAAAATATAAACAGTACAGTAGATGAGATGGGGGTGAGGAAGGGGAAAAAAAGAGGAATTTTGCTGGTGTTATTTATTTATTTATTTTATTATTTCGTTGCTTTAGATTTGGGTACCAAAATGCTCTCCTACAGATCTTGGTTGAGAATGTTCATACAAGGACGTGGGGTTTAAGATATTTCCACTGGAGGAAGAATTGCAGGAGGAGAAACCATTAATGGTTTTGTTCTTGAGTCTGTAAATCCATCTTACTCAGTGTAAGGAGACTTTGCTTCTCCTTAACACCCAAAACAGCCTCAACACAGTGAACTGTTGTGGTTACACTGATCTGCCTTGGGATCTGGAGTTTCTCACAGCATTGTGAGGCAGCCAATTCTGAGCACTGAGACTTCACGTCCTGGTTGGTTGCCTTTCTCTGCTTTCTCTCAGGTTGTGCCTCATGGCAGACTGATTCATGATGCTCTCCATTAGCAGTGATTTTCTTCATCTAACACATCTTTCCCTTGCAGAGATCAGCTTTTTTGTTCCAGGGCTGATCAGCTTTCACTCCAGTTTGCAATAGCTTGTAAGGGTTGGCTGCTGCCAGTTATTGCAGTGCTTCTTGTTGGACTATAAAACAAAACAGACAGGAGAAAAGACAGCTGAGATCCACCAGTGTGGAATGCTGGAGACACTTCTGGATGTTTAGCCATTCCTTGATACCTTGGATGCAGTGCAGGAATAAAATAAAAACCATGAAATTTCTGCAGCACTGGAGGATGGAGTGTTTGGGGAACAACCTTTGTGCCTTATTTGTAAATGCCTGACAGGCACAAAAATGCTCTCTGGAGAGAAATGGTTTAGTGAGAAGGATTTGTTGCATTCTAACTGCTGCTCATTTGTGGACTAGAAGTGCAGTTCAGCAGGGAGCAGGTGAGGGATATTTCCCTGCCATACTGCAGGTCAGAACTGAAGTGCTGAGACTGCTCTGAGGACAATAATGGGGATTGCAGTGTGCTTGGTCTTAGTGTTGCTACCCTTATTTTATTGGGCACTAAAACATGTAAGCTGGACTGATTTTGAGGGGGAGAGGAATTGTTCAGGTATAATTGGCAATCTGAGAAAAGGAGGACTCACAGCTACTTCATGCACTTGTCACGAGACAAGAACAGCTTTGAGATTGGCTTTAGCCTTCACTGTTGGAGAGTCCACGCTGAAATCTCGCCCAGTTCTTTGCTGTTACTGGGCAGGACCCAGCAAAGGCCTCTCTGGTAACAAAGGACATGGCTCGACCTGGCTGCAGTTTCAGTATGTAGCTGTTTGTCTCATGAATGTGGGAAGGGGATCATTCCCTCGTAGCCGTAACATCTCACTCCTTCTGTCATCACCTTGGTGTGCAGTGGGTTTGCAATGGTGTTAGAGTGCAGTGCTGAAATCTAGGCTGTGTGCCAGGTGGGATCTTCCTCGCTGTGAGTCAAGTGTTAGGCCTGCTTTGGTGTCATGTATGTGTAAAACACCTCTTTATATATATCCCAGTGTGCCTGCTGCTGCATTGCTGCAGTGTATTAGATGCTCATTTGTGTTTGCAGTTCACGGTAATCTTTGGCTCTTCCTTGAACGGATGCTTACTCCTGATTCTGTAATTACAAAGCTGATTGTTTCTGAAGAGTAAACTTTGTAGCTGTCTTGCTGCATCCTCCCATGTTTTCCTGACTTATCACTTTGATTTGCCAGAATGCTTCAGCATTCTAGTCCTGTTCTCCAGTGTGCAGCTCTTAGTGTCTTGTGCAGATTTAATAAGCAAGTTCTCTATTCCATTACCCAGGCAATTACTGAAAATACTGAATAGGAGTGAACCCAGGACAGACCTCTCTGGAACCACACTCAATGTTCTTACATTTTTGACAGGAAACCATTAAGTACATCTCAATGCATGCTTTTCCAATTAGTTATCCATCTACTTTGCTTTTGTCTAGCTTACGTTTCTCCAAATTTTTTTCCTCTATGACTGTGGGGAAACCTTTGTCTGCAGGGATAACTTAAGAGATCTACACGTCTCTGCGCTGATAAGTTTGATCTCTTCTAGGAAATGTTTATTTAATAATGCCATCTTTCTCCTTTAAGCAATCTGCTTATTTTTCTCTATACTTTTTTTTTATTTTAATAGGGAATAAACTTATTTTATCTGTACTCTTGTGACACTTTCCTGTCACGCACAAGCTCATCTAGGCCCGCTCTGAAGTGAACTCAGTACTGCCACTGCTAGAGAGTCACTGAACACAGCAGTCAGAGTGAATTATTTTTACAGTACACGAACAGAAGCTGGGATATCTAATGTGGAACTAAGGGCATTATCAGAAGAGTGTATCTGAAGATGACTTCTCCTCTTGGGGTGATGCTGTGAAGATGTTGTTAGCGGCTCTGATCAAATAAAGCATTCTGACACGGTAAACAGCAGGTGAAAGCACACTCAGACCGACAGCAGCAGCTTTGAACAGGACACTTCTGTGTATGCTTCCAGGCATCCCTTGGGAATGCATTGAGCTATTGGCACTCTTACTTCCAGCATCCGAAATAACCTTTGTATCACATTTGGGGGTGGGGAGGGAGGGGGAGGCAAGAAAAAAAAATGCCTGCGCGGAATGAGAATCACATTGTGGAAAAGAATAAAGGAAATGTGTCGTGCATCCTAATGGCCTGTTTTGTGTAGCAGCAGAGAAGCTGCTGGGCTGAAGAGCTGCTGGAGAGCCAAGGCAGCTCCGAGAGGAGTGCTGCTGTTCTGCCTGGATAAACAGTTCAGTCTGCCTAATGTTTGAATGGTATTATGAGGCTTTGTAGTTCAATGGTCAGATTGTCATGACAATTCCAGCCCTGGGTGGTATAAAAAGGATGACCTCTCGCCTCTGTTTTGTTGCTGCTCATTGAGTAATTTTGCTATTAACAGGAGCTGGTGTGCATTAAGCTAATAAGGTTCGTTTGGGGCACTGTCCACTGTGCGTGCATTTGTGTATTATGGTGCAGCTATTAAAAGCACTGTCTTTAATGCACAGAACTGAGGGTGTTCAGCTGTATAGCAAAATGTTCTTTTGAGCAAACTGCTCAAATTTAGCAAATTTGGTTTAACTCTCTAACTCTCCTTTCAAGTATGAGTAAATAGTATTTGCTGGCTTAGTTTAATGATAGATGGGCAGGGCCTTGAGGTGCTCAAGGACAGTGGCCTTGCTCCCAGCGCCCATCAGTGTTGTGTCCAAGGTGATACCTGGCTGCAAAACAGGAGCAACAGGAGAGTTCCAAACATGAAACTGCTCGGTCTGGGTAAAGAGACACGTGAGGAGTGTGATTTGATAGGCACAGGAAAACGAGTGCGGGCTGTTGGTGAAATGGATGTTACAGTTCAAGGTCTGATTGCTGATGTCTCTCCCTTCCCTTCCAGGGTGACGACTTCAGGAGTAATGGAGGGCATGAAGAAGGTCAAGAAAGTGGTGAATGGTTCAGCAGAGCCCCAGGGCGAATGGGAGAGCACGGCGTGATGGACTGGACTAAGGCAGCACTTTCAGAGGAACTGTTTTAATTTATTAATATTACTCTCAGTGGAAAGGGAGCAACTTGCACTTCCCACCACTGAAACGGCAGAGTGGGGTGTGTGTCTGGGGGGAGCACAGCAGTGCAGAAACATAACTATTCCTTTGATCATAAGAAAATGGGATCTCCTGGTACCTGCAAAGAGTGCAAAGCTTTCCTAGGGATTTTGGGTAGCTTATTCTGGTTTTTTTCCCCCCCTTTTCTGGATCGGTTCTGTACCCTGAGTTGTTTGCAGTTGCATTCTTCAGAATGTGTAATGCTAATGTGAAGAGAGACCTTCAGTGTGTATGGAAAGTATATATTTTATATAATGTGCATACATATATATATACACACACTATGTAACATGTATGCCAGGAGTTACAAAAACGTGTCAGAAGGTGGGAAAAGAAGATAAGAGATGTAAGTATTTTTTTTTTCTTCTTTTTATAAACTCTCCTTTTGGCTTGGACAAAACGTTGCAGAACGTGAGTAGGAGCAACTGCAGTTATTTAAAGAGACTGAGTGGGTATTGGATGAGATGACTTCTGCCACTGCTCACACCAGTGGGAGAGTTGATAAGTATCTCCTTGTTTTATCTATGCAGGTGTCCACCTGAACGTGCCAGGTTTTAAAATGTGTTACTATACAGGAAACAAGTGGCTGTTCTCCATTCAAGCACTGAGCCCACAGTGCAGTGAGCATTGATGAACACTCTCCACTCTTCGTGGAGTGGCTCTTGGCTCACCCCCACCTGACAAGAAGTACACAAGAGGCTGTAAGACTGATGCTTGCTTTTTAGGGGTCTGCCACGCTATCCTCAACATTTACTTTCAAGCTGTGACCCAGAGCACCTTGGTCTGCTTGATAAAATATTTTCAAGGTATTTCAGAAGTCACTCCTTTCTGACTCAGTATAAACAGTACCAGACTCTCCAGTGGCAATCTGTCTAGCCAGTTTACTGCAGTATAAATCTCTGGTTCACCCTTATCTTGAGTTACTTGGCCTCTCTGGGTGGCTTCTTGTACCTGTCTGGCTATGTAGGAATTAATGACACTGCTGTTTGAGATGAGCTGAACTGGTCAAAACAGTACTGCCACCAAAAGCAGGCAACTGCAGCTCCCAGTCCTAAATGTTTTTTTGTCAGGAAAGAAGATGACCAGAACCTTGATACAGGGGAATATCGAAGTCCTGACTGTTAGTGGAGTCTTTACAGACGTGTTGCAAATGCCATGTGGATTTTCTTTGTAGTCCCTGCTATGGTCAGTGAGGCAGCTGCTGTTATAGCTGCAGGAGTGAGAATGGTTGTTAATTTGGGGGAGGATGGAAGTGGTTCACTGATGTAATGAGGATAAGCTGTAAGAAAAATAAATCAAGTATAACTCACTGACCCACTGAAGCCTTAATATTGATGTAGAGGCATTGAAATGTGATGCTGTTGAGCCAAGTCCTTCTGCCAGACTGACAGGGATAGGCATCATCAGAGCTTTGGGAGTGCCAGCACTGCTTATGGACTCAGTTAGGAATTGCTTTTTTGAAGGGGCTACATCTCTGGGGCACAACTGATTAGAGGACTGTTAGCCACTAGGTAATTTTATTTTTCAAGCTTAAAAGGAGGATTTCCTTTAGAATCTTGAACCACTTCCACACTGTCGAGCAGGGGTTGCAGAGCTCTTGGTGAGCAGTGTGTGTACCAAGACTCTCTGTTCGAGGAGCAGCTTCACTTTCTCCAGTTGCCACTTTTCCCACATGTTGGTTCTACACACCATGGAGATGGTAGGAACAAATCTACCTGCTTTGATACCTGGAACTGCTTTCTCTTCAGATAAAGCATGAAAATAGCCCTGTTCTCTGGGTGCAGAGTCCTCTTCTGTTTTCCTCCTCAGCCATAATTTCACAGTAATCCCAGCAGTGATAGTTTGACTTTTGCTGTCATTGCCCTGCAGTGAGACAGTTTTAGTTGCAACAGACCCTATACCACTAGAGAGGCTGTTTGGTGATCTATGGGCCTTTTAGACCTCCTGTAAGAATAAATCTGCATATTAAGTAGCTGAGGTGTGAGAAATTGGACCATAAACACAGGCAGACCCAGCTCATCGTACCCTTAAATACAATACCTGGAAAACTCATCCTCTCGCTCTGCAGAGTTTCTCTGTCCCTGTGGAATTGTCACTCACTGCATCCAAAGGGCTGCTCAGACAGGCTGTACTTTGTCAGAGAAGCCCACTGGAGGCTTGGTCTGTTGGGACTGAGAGGTAGGTAAGGGATAAGGATGTGCTGTAGGGAACAAAGTGCAATAACAGCTTTATCTGGACATGTTGCTGCTCTAGAACATGTTAATTCCTTTTGTGAATGAGGTGTGAAATTCTGATGGCTGAAACATGAGGGCTGTGCTGGGATCCTCGTGAGTGCTGAGC